ATTATCAGGTATAGAATTTAAATAATTAAAGGGGCACCTGGGTGGCTCAGTCAGTTAGGCGTCCTACTTCAGCTCAGGTCATGATCTCGCGGTTTGTGGGTTCGAGCCCCACATTGGGCTCTGTGCTGACAGCTCAAAGCCTGGAACCTGCTTCAGATTCTGTGTCTCCCTCTCTCTCTGCCCCTCCCCAGCTTGGACCCTATCTCTCTGTCTGTCTCAAAAATAAATAAACACTAAAAAAAAATTAGAATTTAAATAATCATGAAATGCCTGAAGAAATGAAAGACAAAATTATAGAAATGAACAATCAATAAGAGACTGTCAAAAGCAACCAAAGTTGAACAGGAACAAAATGGAACTTTTATAAATAAAAATAAAATGTATTGAAATAAAAATGTAAATGAGAAAATTAAACAGCACATTACATACAGCTGAAGAGAGTCCGTTCGATTGGAAGATGTTTCTGAAGAAATGTAAGAGTAAGGCACAGACCAACAAGGGGATGAAAAATATGAAAAAGAGAATAAGGGATGTGACACACAGAATGAAAAGATCGAACATATATTTCATCAAGAGCTCAAAGTGGAGAATAGAGAGATGGAGGAGAAACTATTTTAAGAGTAATGACTGAAGTTTTTGTAGAACTCATGGTAAGTGGAAATATATAGGAAGGTTAACACAGACCATATGTAAAAAGGTTTCCACACCTACATAAAATGTAGTAAAACCAGAGCACACCAAAGACAAAGAGAAGATATTAAAAGCATCCAGAGAAAGACGGATCTTGTATGTTTAGACAACAACCATAATAGAAAGCCTTGGAAAGTGGAGTAGGACCTTCAAAATCATGGACACGAGTACCAACCCAGAAGATCGTAACTTGCCAAGCGATCTTCCAAATATGAGGGTAAAATAAAGATATTACCAGATGAACAAAAACTACAGTTTACCATCAACACTATAACAACTCCTCAAGGACATCTTTTGGGAAGAGGGAAAAGCAAGGTTTGAGAGACAAGAAACGATCATGAGTAGAAAGGTAGGCAAATCTAAATAGTGCCTTATAAAATGATAGTTATAGTATCTAACTTGTACTTTCCAAAACCTAACAAATAAAACACAGGGAAATAATAGCATGCAAATTGGGAGGGGGTTATCAGCATGAAACTATTGCAAGGTCCTGGAATTCTTTGGGGAAGGGAGGATGGTTAAGATATTAAACTTCAGATTTGATTAAATATTCAGGGGAATCTTATCAGAGTAACCACCGAAAGAATAAAATGAGAGAATTGGTATAATTTCCAAACCAGTAAAGGGAAAATAGAATAAAGAAACAAACACAAAGACAATCAATTTTTTAAGCCAAGAAAAAATAAAAAAAAATTGACACAGAAAAAGTGAGACAATAGAAAGCCAAAACTAAGGTGGTAGAAACAAGGCTAAATTATAAATAAATTGTAAATGGCCCAAATTCATCAGTTAAAATACAATCTGTTGGATTATATTTTTAATAATTCAGCTATCTGCCATTTAAATGAAATATACGCAAAACAAAGATTTGGAAAAGTTGAAAATAAAGTAATGGAAAAAGATATACCAGGCATATAGCAAGTGAAAGGAAGCTGGGGTAGCTATTAACATAAGACAAATGGACTTTGGAACAAAAAGCCTAATTAGTAGGTTGACCTTACATCCTGTTTGCCTGTGACAGTCCTGGCTTACTCCCATTATCCTAGCAACAACTAGTATGCTCTTTGACTCCCAAAAGTATCCCAGTTAAATAGATGGACTCCTTTAGTATTAGTCCTTAATAAGGTGCCTTGAATTTGAATGCAAATCATTTATTTCAGGAAATACCTGTAGAGTAGTAAGGAAGTAGATCAGGAAAGACATCAAAGTCAATAAAGGACATGTTATCAAACCAGTTAATACTGTGGGAAACTAGAGCTCAATACTATGGGGAATCCTGAACGAATAGTTTGAAATCAGATTTTAGAGAAACAAACTTTAGGATAATCCCAACTGAGAGGCAAGGTAATGGGGGTATTGATCCCCCAAATCCTCATCCATCATTCATTTAGGATAGAAGGCCCTCTTTTCGGGCCTTACCTCTTAGTGCTTCCAACTTGCCCTGCATCTGTCCAAATACGGTCCCCAAATAGAGCTCCATGTATTCACAGAAAGCAGCCTTCAGTGTAGAGGTAAATTCTGAGGAATTATAAATGGAGCCTCAATAGTGTTTGCTACAGAGGGTAACTATATAATATTAAATGATATACTTCACCAAAAAAAAATTTAATTGAATCATGTATATCTAATTAATTAACCTCAAAATATATGAAATATATACATATACACCACATTTTCTTTATCCACTCATCCATTGATGAGTGAATATGGCAACAGGTTGTTTCTGTATCTTGGCTATTGTGAGTAATACTGCAAAGAACATGGGGCTGCAGATATCTTTATGAGATCTTGGTTTCAATTCCTTTGGACATATACCCAGAAGTGGGACTGCTAGATCATAGGGTAGGTCTAGTTTTAATTTTTTAAAGAGCCTCCATGCTGTTTTCCACGGTGGCTGCACCAGTTTGCATTCCCACCAGCAGTGTACTGGGGTTACCCTTTCTCCATACCTTCATCGTCCCTTGTCTTTTTGATGATGGCCATTCTAACTGATGTGAGGTGTTATGTTATTGTGGTTTTCATTTGCATTTCCCTGATAAACCACAGCTACGCATTCACCTGCTACAGGACATCTTGATTGCTTCCAAGTTTTGACAATTACAAATAAAGCTGCTGGAAACATCTGTGTGCAGATTTTTGCATGGACATAAGTTTTCAACTCCTTTGGGTAAGTACCAAAGAGTGCAATGGCCAGAATGCAAGAATAATTTAAACATACAAAATTCATAAATGTTATACACCATGTTAACAGATTAAAGGAGACAAACTATCTCACTAGATACCAAAAAAGATTTGTAGAATTTAAAACTTAATCATGATCAAAAGCTCTGCAAGAATAATTTAAACATACAAAATTCATAAATGTTATACACCACGTTTACAGATTAAAGGAGACAAACTATCTCAATAGATACCAAAAAAGATTTGTAGAATTTAAAACTTAATCATGATCAAAAGCTCTTAACAAGCTAGAAACAAGTGCCCTTTGCACTTTTGAAACCTGATAAATAGCATCTACAAAAACCATCTGCAAACCTCATTTTTAAAAAAATGTTTATTTTTGAGAGAGAGAGAGAGAGCAGGGGAGGGGGCAGAAAGAGAGGGAGACAGAGGATCTGAAGCAGGCTCTGTGCTGACAGCAGAGAGCCCAATGTAGGGCTCGAACTTAAAAACCGTGAGATCATGACCTGAGCCGAAGCCGGATGCTCCACCAACTGAGCCACCCAGGTGCCCTGCAGACCTCACTCTTAATGGTAGAACTTTAGAAGAATTCTTTTTAAAATGAAAAAGTAAACAGAGATACCCACAATCACTCCTTGTACTCAGCATTGTACTGCAAAGCAAGAAAGAACAGAACGGTATAAAGATGGGAAACGAAAAACAAAAACAGCATATTTGGATTGCATAATTTCCTACACAGGCAACTCAGAAGAAACTACAAACTATATATCAAGGCATCTCAATTCTTCTTTGCTTTGTAATGAACCACCCCAAAATTGAGTGACTTAAAAGAATATTGTTACAATTCCCTGTGTCAGCAGTTTGTGTTGGACTGGCTAGGTGATTCATTTGCTGTGCTGCATGAGGTCGCCTGTGTGACCACATCATCTGGTATCCTGAACTCGATCTGGATGCCTAGGATGGCCTCACGCACATGTCTGCTGACGGATACTGGCTGTTGGCCCGGAAGTTTAGGAATCTTCAACTAGAATAGCTCATCTCTACTCCATGTAGCTAAACCAAGCCTCTTCACATGGCAGTCTCAGAGCGGTGTTTCAAAAAGTCAAGAGCAGAAGCTGCAAGCCCCCTAGAGGCTTAGACTAGAAGTTTCCACACATCACTTCTACTGTATTCCATTAGTCAAAGCAATTCACAAGGCCAGCCTGGCTTCAAGGTGTTGGGGAAAAGATTCCAGTTCTTTGTGGGAGGAAGGGTGACAACATTGCAAAGCGACAAGTATACAAGATGGTAGGGATTATTGCAAATATCTTTGTTAATAGTCTCAACAGGAGGCTTACCAAGTCAGCTAAAAATACATTTAACAAAAATATGTGTAATATTTATACAGAGCAAAATCTAAAACTTCATTGAAAGGCATCAAAGAAGGGCTAAATAAAAGGAGAGGTATGCACGTTCATGATCAGGAAGGCTTAAGGTTATAACAAGTCAGTTCTTTCTATATGTTCAATCAGTTCACGAGGTTTTCAAGGAACTTGATAAGCTGAAACCCCAAGTAGAGCCAAGATACTTCTGAAAAAAGAGGAAAGGACTCACCCTACCAGATATCAAAATTTATTAGCTCTAATAATTGAGACGCTCTGATGTTCATGCAGGAATAGACAAATAGGCCAATGAAACAAGCTATACATATATGGACATTTGATGTGTGACAAGGAATCATTGTAGGTCATTAAATAAGTAACGCCGGGATTATTGTTTACTATCTGAAATATATATATGTATATATATGTATATATATGTATATATTTATATATGTATAAATATGTATATTTATATATATAAATATATATACATATATATATATATATATATATACACACACACACATAAGGCATATAAAATAATCAATTAGTGATAGATCAAAGACTTACATGTGAAATTTTTATAGTCTCAAAAGAAAATATGGGAGAATGCCATTTTGGCTTTAGTGCAGAAGAGGTTTTCTTCAAAAACAGAAAGAATGTACTAAACATAAAGATAAACATATCTACAGTAAAATTAAGAACATCTGTTACACCATAAAGAAAGATGAAATATAAAGCCAAATTTGTTTTTGCAGCATCTCTAATCCACAGAGAATTATTATCCAGAATATATAAAACTGAAAGTTACTGAGAAAAAGACAGATAAGAAAATAAAAAATGAGCAAAAGATGGAAATAAATACTTCCCAGAAGAAAAAATGCAAAGAGTGAGTAAACACTTGAAAAGATGTTCAGCTTTATTATTTAATCAGGCAAATGCAAATTAAGGCAATAATAAAATATTATTTTACATGTTAGATGGTCAAAAATTAAGAAGTCTACCAACCATTCTGAGAATGTAGCTCAAGGACATTGGTACAACCAACTGATTGGGAAAACTATTGTTACATCTAAACTTGAATATTTGTATGCCCCAAGACCCGGAAATTTTACGACTAGGTTTATTTATTCCCTAGAGAAACTCTTGAACACTTATAGTCATATCAAAAGACATCTAAAATAAAGATTAGGGGCAGCACTGTTCATAATAGAAGAAGAAAAAACCACTTGATATACTACATGGCAAGGAAATTATCAAAGACACTCTTCTGCAAAGAATCATAGAATTGTTCCTGATTCTTGATAGCACCCAATTTAAAGCAAAGCTTCACTTCCTAGGACCCTCCCCAATATCACCCAGTCAAAGCCCAAATCCTAAAACAGGTTCTTTCTAGGACCTTAGTGTTACTAAATAACACTGAGTAAGTAAGTGTCTCTTACTGAGACACTGCACGGTTCCCCATGGTATGTGCACACTCCTTAGTTGCAAGGAATAATAAATCCAACATGTTCAATAACAAGTGTGCTTGTGGTGGTCTTTGGCTGGAAGGCATTGACAAGTTGAACACAAAGTACAGTAACTGATGCCTTTTTCTTCTTGGACATGTGAGCAGATGGTTAAATGTTGATGCTAACAGCCTTTGAAATCTCCATTTGGCCCAATCTCCAATGTTTGGTCTAGGTGTGATCCATAGTCATTGGTGCTGAAAACCTCAAGAAACTGTGTGGTTGAAAGTGTTAGGTGTAATATCCCCATGAACCCTGTTATTGCCCATGATGTTGATGGGACCAGGAACTAAGGACTAGATGCTATGCCAGTGAGATGGCATCAGGGCAACTTTCCCATTCACCTCCATTTCCCTCCAGCCATTGGCATCTTGCAACAAAGATGAGAATTTGGAGATTGGGACTTCAGCAAAGAAGAAGAAGGAAAAAAAGGTAAAACAAGAAGACCCAAAGGGCAAGATCTCAAGACCAAAAAGAAAACCTATGAGTAGTTGGGGCTGGCTGTGGCTGTGTCGGTCAGGGACGGGGCATGGCATTCCCAGAACACTCAACAGATAATTAACACATATTTAGTATTAACATCTCCATATCTACTATCCATAAACCTCACACAAACATTTTACAGATAAGGAACGTGGGGCTCAGAGAGGTCATGTGACTTATTCAAGGTCTCTCTGCCAGTAAGAGGTGAAACCAGGATCTATGCCTAAGTGTGACTGACTTCAAATCCTACCTGAATTCATACTTGCACCCTACCAGCTTGCCCAGCAGGAGTCCTGGCTGCATCTTCAGAGAACACAGAATAAGAAGCCAGAGAAGCAGGAGCCAGAAGCAGAAAAAAATTTCCTCTGGAGGGTCCTTCAGAAGGACACTTAACTCCTCTCTTCTCTCTTCTCTCTTATACGCAACTAAAGAATTACTCACAAAAACACAAAACTCTAAAACCAAGAGGTGAAGGAAGATATTATATAACTGGTCACTGGCCCCAGAGCAGAACTTCCTTGAAATAACTGGGGGCAGCTCCCACTGACTAATCTCATCCGCATGACTCATCCAGTTGGCTCTTCCTTAGTGGGTGGAAATGAGACAATAGGGATGCTGCTAGGCCAGGTTGCTGGAAATGAGCACTGTGATGTCTGGGAGCCATCCAGACATACCCTAGTTTTGGGAATTCCCCTTGGCCATCACGCCATGGATCTCTGAGTGCCCTGGATGCTTGGACTGAGTGAGGAGAGTCTTAATGGCCCCCAGGAACAGCTCAGTTCTCAGCCCTTGGCTCTCCAGAGTCTGGGAATGGAGACAGGCTGAGCTGAAGGCCATCTTCAGGGATGAGGTACGTGACTGAGGGGTAGGGGTTGTTCCTCAGGCTGCTATAGCCTCAGGGGCTCCATTCTTGGGGCACGGCCCTGGAACTCCTCCTCACTGTGAACCTGCCTATTCTCACTCAACTGAGAATGGGGCTAGTCACGAATCTATACCATCTTTATGGATTGTAGAAATTTGAGGAAAATCAAGTTGGCATCAAATCATTAGCGGAGAACTTGGTTTGGCTCCCTAAGTCCAGTGTATAAGCAGAAGAGACTAAAGAAAGACTACTGATAGCAACGTTCTTGGGAGCAGGCAGTGTGGGAGGGGCGGGCAGACGGGCTTGGGGGCTCCGTACTTGGGAAAATCCTAAATTGTGGTACATGCAGGAAATCCACCTGTCCCGCCACATCCTTCCTTGTCTGGTCCTTGGATGACTTCAGTGTCCACATGAATACCCCTTTCATCACTCCAGCCTCCCAGACCCTTGACGTCATAACCTCTGCTCCAGTCTGCCCGACACACGTGTGCCCATGCTCGTTCCAAGGACATTGTCATTGCCCTTAGCTCCTCCATTTCTGAAATACCAGACTCTCTTCTCTAACCCCAATTCCTATTCTTCCAGCCCTGTCACTATGTTGCTTTCACTCTGTCTATTCTTCACCAGCTGGAAATGCCCAGTTTGTAGAGACCATGGTGTTCTCTTGTTCTGATTGTCTTTCTCAGTCTTGGTCTGCATTTGAAGGGAAAGAGAAGGTGGAGTGAAGGAGGCCTAGGGCTGTGGCTGTGGCTGGCACAGAGGTCAGGCTGGGAAGGGGGAGGAAGGGAGGGAGTCAGCTGCATTAGGGGCCCCACAGAGGAGCTGGCCGGGAACAATGGGGAACAAAGGCTGGACACTCTTCCGCTGAGCCTCAGCTCCTGGCCTTGGCCTTCCGGGAACAGCTCCAGGAAATGGCTGAGATTCCAGATTTGGGAGGAAGAGACCTGTAAACAGGAGCTGGGCTCTGAGAGGGGAGAGCAGCCTCTCTCTGGGGGGGTTGCGGGGGGGAGGAGCGGCAGGGTGAGCACAGACTTTTCAGGTTCAGAAGCTATGAGGCTTGCCTGCTATAGCCACAAGGTTTCAGGGATGGAAAGACTCAGTAAAGTTCATTTACTCCAACCACGCTTCCAAGGCCTGAAAATATCCCTGCCGAATATGCTCGAATAGTTTCGGTGATGGGATGTGCATAAAAATAAATAAATAGCAATATTGGCTAACCTTTACTGATCACTTAGAACGCATCAGGCACTGTACTAAGGATTTCATGCAATATCTCATCCCATCCTTGCTCCAGCCCTCGAGGTGGGAACTATTATTATTACTCCTACTTATTTTTAAAATGTTTTTAAATTTATTTATTTTAAGAGAGACAGAGACAGCGTGAGTCGGGGATGGGCTGAGAGAGAGGGAGACAGAGAATCCCAAGCAGGCTCTGCTCTGCCAGCGCAGAGCCTGACGCAGGGCTTGAACTCAGGAAACCGCAAGATCGTGACCTGAGCTGAAACCAAGAGTCGGACACTTAACCCACTGAGCCACCCAGGTGCCACATTATTACTCCTAGTTTACAGGTAAGGAAACGAGCTTGCAAGGATGAAGGGACTCTCTCAAGGTCTCTCAGAGAGCTTATTTGATTTGTCTGTGAGCTGAACAGGAACACACTGTGAGCTTCCTCCGGATTGTCCCAGAGCCTCTAAAGTCTTAAAGTCTTCCTATCTTCTGCCCTACCCACCACCTATCCTCGGGCAACCGGGCTGTGGGATGACAATATGCTCCTGCTTCCCTCCCCTTGGCTGCCTCAGCCCACTTCTCTCTCCCTTCAGCTTCTTAGTGCCGTTCCCTGAGCCTCCACCTCTGGGCCCCCATTCCACTCTAGCAGGGAGCCACTCAGAGCAGAGGGGTAAGAACGGCCATCAAGGTTTAGATGGAGTCTGAAAGTTAAAGGACGAAGGCTGTGCTTTGGAACTACGTCAGTGTGAGGATGGCCTTTAGGAAATCCCAGACTAGATCACAAGGTAAACTTTAGGGCCGGGGCTGGAGTCAGGGGTGATGGCTAAAGGGTCAAGGGCAGAGAGTTTCTCTCTGCTGGTCTCCTCCCAGTTCTCCAAGGCACCGAGGGCCAGGCAGGAAGCATGGGTTTCCTCAAAGCTGCTTCCCTCCTGGGGCAGAGTCTCGGTCACAAACAACCACCACCAGCCCACCCCGCCCCTCCTTCCCTCCGCTGTGAGCTCAGAGCTGCAGGACAAAGTGCCTGGGACCAGGAGAGAGGCCTGAGAGCAGCCATGGGCTCTGGAGGATCAGGCCTCCTCAGGGCCCCGCGGCCCCTGCCTCTCCTGCTTCTGCTTGTCACCGGTGAGTGTGGCCCTCCCCTCTCCTAGCCCCTGTTCCCTTGATCCAAGGCCTGGACAAGGGGAGAAGAGGTCCCCCTTGCTCCCTTGCTTCCCTTTTTTCATGGGGGTACCAGAGATGATGATGATGATGATGATGATGATGATGGTGTATATGTGAGACAGAGACAGACAGACAGATTGAGAACTCTGCAGATCCTTGCCTGGATGCCCTGCATACCAGCTCTCTCCCCTCCCAGATTGTTAATGGAAGTTATCTTCAGGCAAGAGAGGGCAGAAGAGATGTTCAGGGATTTGGGGGCCCTGCTGGTAGTCGGACTGGGCTCCGCCCCCCTTTCCCTTCCAGGAGGTATGGCTCAGGACTCCCCACCCCAGATCCTAGTCCATCCCCAGGACCAGCTGCTCCAGGGCCCCGGCCCTGCCAAGATGAGCTGCCGAGCCTCAGGCCAGCCGCCTCCCACCATCCGCTGGCTGCTGAACGGGCAGCCGCTGAGCATGGTGCCCCCAGACATACACCACCTCCTACCAGACGGAACGCTCCTACTGCTGCGGCCCCCTGCCCGGGGACGTGCCCACGACGACCAGGCCCTATCAACAGACCTGGGTGTCTATGCATGCGAGGCCAGCAACCGGCTGGGCACAGCGGTCAGCCGAGGCGCTCGGCTGTCTGTGGCGGGTAAGGCCTGGGAGGGGAGGCCCGGGGCAGGGTGCACCTGAGGCCAGATGCCTGAGGTGAGGACATATAGGGGGATATCTATGAGGGAAGGCCTGGGCTGGGTGAACTGAGGAGGGTGGGGCTCTGAAGAGTAAACACAAGGTGGTGAAATGGTGGATAGACCAGAATGGGGCCAGTGTGGTAGGAGACACCAAGGCAGGACCTCTGCGGAGGGGAGCACTGGACGTTCCTCCCTGCTGACCCTCCATCATCCCTGCAGTCCTTCGGGAGGCTTTCCAGACCCAGCCTCAGGATACAGTGGCCACAGTGGGCAAGCAGGTGGTTCTGGAGTGTGGGCCGCCCTGGGGCCACCCAGAGCCCACCGTCTCGTGGTGGAAGGATGGAAAACCACTGGCCCTACAGCCAGGGCGGCACGTGGTGAGTGAGCCCCCCTTCCCCATACTTTCTCTGGTCCTGAGCATAACTGGGCACACCCTCCAGCCCCCGTGTCCCCTGCAGAATTTGAGGAAGGGAAGGCAATGAGGCCTGAAGCTTCCCTCCCCAGTCTGAGCCCCTCCCACATGAGACACTTCACAAAGTGCCTGGCCCTGACAGGTCTCCAGGGGGTCGCTGCAGATGGCAAGAGCAGAGAAGAGCGACACAGGCACCTATATGTGTGTGGCCACCAACAGCGCAGGACGACGGGAGAGCCGGGCAGCCAGGGTGTCTGTCCAGGGTAAGTCGAGGGTGGTCAGCTAAAGTTAGGGCCTGGTTCTGGCTGGGGTCAGCGTACGTGGGGGTCAACCTGGGATCAGGATCAGAGTGACACGGGTCCCATCGAGAGGGATGTTCCCCAATCCTGGAGTAGAAATAGGAGTGCTCTAGACTGGGAAATCTAGGAGTTGTGCTTTCTCCAAGTCTGGGGGATGTTTCACCCCTCAGTCCCATCACTCTGGCCTACGGCCCCCAGCCCAGCCCTATGCTCTCCACAGAGCCCCAGAACTACAAGGAACCTCTGGAGTTGCTGGCTGTGCATATTCAGCTGGAAAATGTGACCCTGCTGAACCCAGACCCCGAAAAGAGCCCCAAGCCCGGGCCTGCTGTGTGGCTCAGCTGGAAGGTGAGGCCCAGGCCCTAGGGGTGGGTGCCAGTCTGAGCTCAAGAAAGAGCTGGCCATCAACTCCTTGACCTCCTATCCTTCCTCTGGACTCTTTCCCAGGTGAGCGGCCCTGCTGCACCTGCTCAGTCGTACACAGCCCTGTTCAGGGTCCAGACGGCCCCAGGAGGCCCGGGAGCTCCCTGGGCAGAGGCCCTGCTGGCTGGCTGGCAGAGCGCGGAGCTTGGGGGCCTCCTCTGGGGCAAAGACTACGAGTTCAAAGTGAGACCGTTCTCCGGCCGGGCTCAAGGCCCTGACAGCAACGTGCTGCTCCTGAGGCTGCCTGAACAAGGTCAGAGACAGATGTCTAAAGGACCCAACAGTATACTCTCTGACGCCTTCTTGTCCTAGGGCCCCTGGACTGTCCCACTCCGGTTTGGAGGGACGGTGGGCCTTACTCCTGGACTCCCTTCTGCCATGGCCAGGCAAGCAGAGCTGCAGGAATCTCCTATTCTTACCAGTGTGGTCTCTGACCGTGTCCCCATCCCAGATCTTTTTCCTAGAGTCCCCTCCTTCAGCATTCCTTACAGCCTCTCTTCCTCCCCTCCAGTGCCCAATGCCCCTCCCGGGGAGGTGACCTTAAAACCTGGCAACGGCAGTGTCCTTGTAAGCTGGGTCCCACCACCTGCCGAAAACCACAATGGCATCATCCGTGGCTACCAGGTACCCCCCCCCACCACCACCACCTGCCTAGTGGTGCCAGGACATCCTCTTGCCTGGCATCCTGCATACCCTTGTTCTGGGCACTAGGAAGCAGCACCTGTGCAGAGAAGCAAGGAAAACTTGCTGTCACTGAGCAAGGGGTCTGCCCGACACTGCCAGGCACTTTCCTACGTGATCTCATTTCATCTCAGAGTCCGTACTGGGTTATTATCCCTAATTTATGGACATGGAGAGTGAGGCCAAGGCCACAGGTGCAGGAAACAGAGCAGGAATCAAACCAGGCTGTGTCTGACTGTCAACTTCTAAGCCAGTGGGATCAGAATGTGGCTCTTGGGCCAGCAACACCAGCATCGCCTGACAACTTGTTAGAAATGCAAATCCTTGGGTCCTTCCCAGGCTGATGAATCAGAAACTCAGGGACGGACCTAGCAACCTGGATTGGTAACAAATCCTCCCAGTGACTCGAAAGCACAGTGAAATTGGAGAACCACGGTCTAACGCCTATTTTAGCAGATTGTTTTTTGTCCCCCCTGCTGTCAGCCTAGAGAGAAGGCTCTCTCACTCTGTAGGGAGAAGGGAATAGGAAGTGTGGCTACATCGGGTGGGGGAGTGCTCCCAGGGGAACAGCGGGGCAGGATGACCACATGGCCAGTGGTGGAGGACTCGGCCGCTGGGATGGCGCGGGGGTTGGTGCGGGGGGTGGTGAGTGCCCATTTCCCCTTGTGCCTCAGGTCTGGAGCCTGGGCAACACTTCGTTGCCCCCAGCCAACTGGACTGTGGCGGGCGAGCAGACCCAGCTGGAGATGGCCACCCAGATGCCAGGTTCCTACTGCGTACAAGTGGCTGCGGTCACGGGCGCTGGGGCTGGGCCCCCCAGTAGCCCTGTCTGCCTCCTCTTAGGTGAGGGCGGTGCCCACCCGTACCCCGCGAGCCCCCATCCCCACCTTCCTCTCTCCCTGTTCCCGCCTCACACGTCCAGCTCATTGCATGACCCTCATAGTCCCACCCGCCCCTCCCACTGAACTCAAATTCCCACATAGAGCGAACCATGGAGCGAGCCACTCAAGAACTCAGCGATGGTCCCTGGACCCTGGAGCAGCTGAGGGCCGCCCTAAGGCGGCCAGAAGTGATTGCTAGCGGGGGTGTCGTGCTCTGGCTGCTGCTGCTGGGCACTGCCGTGTGTGTGCACCGCCGGCGCAGAGCTGGGGTGCACCTGGGCCCGGGTAAGAGGATGGACCCCCGGGTGGCCCAGGCCGCACAATGCAGGGGCTTAGATCTCTGGCCAGGTGTTAGGCCCTCTGGATTTAGCTCTCTTCCTTTTGCTCTCTCCCAGGTCTGTACAGATACACCAGTGAGGACGCCATCCTAAAACACAGGTGAGAGATGAAATGCGGGGGGGCTTGAGGTGAGGGGGCAGGTAGAGGGGCCAAGGGGCCGTGGAGCTGGGACAGAGAGTTGGATGGAATGCTGTCTCCCCTACTGCCAGGCAGTTAGGGACCCTACTACCCAAATCTCTCCTGAACTCCAAGTGAGAATTAATTTCTCTTTCATTAGTGTTCCTACCACACCGCTTGACAGTTGAGTAAACGGAGACACGAGACTTAAGTGACTTTGCCCGAGGCTACACTGCTAGTAGCTGGCCTTCTGAATTCCCAATCTAGGACTCTTGTCACCCACCTCTCACTAATCCTCACTACACTCTCCTGCTGACCCATTCTGCTAGGTGGGGAATAACTAGCACGGGACGACCTAGCACTTTCTCATTTTCTCTGTAGACCCCGGGTCTGCCTAGCAGCGCCTTGGCATTCAGGAAATCACCCAAATGGGGAGTGATCTTCAATATAATCACCCACAGTTCCAGCAGAGGGCGCTCTGCCCCTATGTTCTCAATTCTCACGCCTCGTTCTCAGTAGCAGGGTCAGCTTGCAGGTACACCTGCTCCAAGTGTCTTTGGCTGCCAAAGCAAGTCTGTGGTTATGAGACAGGGTGCCAAGAAAGAAAAGATACTTTTTTGTCCTACTGGCTGAGTTTCACACTAAATAACCATTTCATCTCTCTGCTCTTTTATCTCATTGGATTTCCTCTGAAGGGTTTCACGTTCCAAATCTGCATCTTTCAACAGAAGTTTATCAAGTACCTACAATGTGCCAGACACGTCCAGCCCTTGGGTTACCATTTTGCAAGGTTCCGAGTGGGCTGGGGCCATATATTCCTGCGTTATTCTGTGCTCACTGGCCTTTCTCTTCCAGCTACCTCCTGGCCTTTGTTCTGTCCCCGAACCTTCTCTGGCTCCCCTGGAACTTTATCCCTTGTCTCTGAAGGGGATTCCACTCTGATTCTCTTGTTCATCCATCCCTTTAGCACAGGCTCCGTCCACCGGACAGCCATGCCAGCATATGCATGCAATCGAGAGCTAGATGTGCGGAAACATGTATAAGACACGTGGAAGAGGTGGGGTGGGGGAAAATCCCACGTTTACCCTGATGGTACGAAGGGGAAAGGCAAAAGAGCAGCGGGAAGAACTAGCCTGCTATGTTCATAGGGAAAGATAAGCTGTTTGGTCTGGCTAGGATATAGGTTGCAAGATGTATCGGAGTAAAGGATAAGGTCAGGGAGCTGAAGGCCAGACCAACAAGGGTGCTGCTCGCCCTGCTAGGCAGCTGGTAAATGGGGAGCCACTGACGGTTCTAGGCAGAGAAGTGCTTTGGTATGATCTCTGTTCTTGAAAGATTGCTCAGGCAGCCAGCAGGACGCCCGGTTCAAAGGGAACCAGACTAGAGGTACAGAAGGCAAATTCCACGTAGCAAACTCTTGCTCTACCAGCTGAGTGATCTCACATTTCCTCATTTCAACTCAAAACATCAGCCTTATATGGCAGCCCTTTTACAGATAAAGAACCAGGGCTTAGAGAGGCTAATAGACTTCTTTGCCCGGAGTCGCACACATAGGCTGTAGCAGATGGGGATTTTCACACTGGGTTTGTCTGTCCCCGGATCTGTGTTCCCTTTGTTTCAACACATAGCTGTCTCTCTTTAATGCCTCCTCATTCTGGGCCACTTGGACTTCCCCGGTCCCAGAATAAGAAAGGACCACTGAGTTTTGGGATGCCAGGTCAGAGATCCTAAGGAGTCTGTAAAGGCCTGGAAAGCAGCAAGAATAAAGCTGCTGCCACCCTCTACTCAACCCCTTCTGCTACCCTCTGAACTGGAGGTCTTGTCCAATGATGTTCTCGCTTCACCCCATTTCTCCTGCCCCCCCTCATTGTCCCAGGATGGATCACAGTGACTCCCCTTGGCTGGCAGACACTTGGCGTTCTACCTCTGGCTCTCGGGACCTGAGCAGCAGCAGCAGCCTCAGCAGCAGGCTAGGAGTGGACCCCCGGGACCCACTAGACTGTCGTCGCTCCTGTGAGCATGCCCAGTGGGGCCAAGGCTCTGCAGTGGAGCAGGGATCCCAGGGCTGGAGATGGGCGTTGTGGGGGTGGGAGGCACTCACCGTAATTCTTCCTGTCATTTTTACCACAGTGATCTCCTGGGATCCCCGAAGCCCTGGTGTGCCCCTGCTTCCCGACACCAGCACTTTTTATGGCTCCCTCATCGCTGAGCTGCCTTCCAGCCCCCCAGCCCGGCCAAGCCCCCGGACCCCAGCTGTCAGGCGCCTCCCGCCCCAGCTGGCCCGGCTCTCCAGCCCCTGGCCCAGTCCAGACAGCCTCTGCAGCCACAGGGGACTCTCTTCTCCCCGCTTGCCTCTGGCCCCTGTGGAGGCTTGGAAGGCCAAAAAGAAGCAGGGTAAGGATGGGGAGCATAGACACAGCCTGAAGCGGGTGGCAGGAGGACCAGGAGTGGGAACGTGGTGGGACCGTGGCCTGGAGACCTCGAAGCCAGATGTGGGCTGTATCCCACCCACGGCTTCCAGTTCCCTGCCCTGGTGGACACCAGGTCTCTCCGCTATCACCAAGGCACTCAGCGAGGGGTGTGCTGGCCTCCGCTTTTCTTTACATGGTTGTCTGCTTCCACTCGGCCCGCACCAGCAGTGGGCCCTCTTTCTGCATGCAATTGAATTTGGCAAACATTTCGTAAGCACCACTGTAAGCCAGATGTGGGGACACAAGAGACAGTTCTTGCCATCTAAGGGCTCAGAGTATGGTGACAGTGCCTGACCAGCACATAAGGAACTCTAGAACCTGGCGGTGTGCGACCGGTGCTAGCTTGAAGCCTTATCTCCATGGACGCTGTGCACGGGCCTCTCCAGGCACTGACTCCCCACTCACTTCCCAGAGAAGATTGAGTAATTCCCTTCTGCCCAGATTCCTCTCCTGAATTCCAGCTACTTGCTTCGCCTTTCCAGGGAGAAGTAATTACAGTCTCTGTTTCTTTTGGAACTACTATACGTTAGGTGCTTTATTTGTTTCATTTAATCCCCCCAACCTATTGGCTAGATATTATTTCTCTAATTTTACAGGTGGGGAAAGAGGATCAGAAATGAGTCACTTGTTCAAAATCCCACAAGTCAGTAAGCTGCCGAACTCAGATTCGAAGCCAAAAAGGTCTGCTTCCTAAGGCCACCCTCTGAGAGCTCCCTTAGAAGATTCGATTCTATCACTGACTATTTTCTCTTGTTTCTGAACGTGGGTCTGAGCCCCACCTGCTGTCTTCACAAGCCTTCTGTGCTGCTTAGTAAGACTTACGAATGTCCTACAGCCAATTCTTTTTTTTCCCCCCCAGTGGATATAATCCAAATTTCACAGAGACAAAGATGGATACAGAGTAATTAAGAGCTTGTCCAATATCCAGAACTTTATGACTCTAGATATTAGCAAAGCTGGCATTATTTCCAGCTTCGCCTCAGATGTATTGCATTAGGAATCCTCAGTGGGCACAAAATAGCAGCTAAAAAGGGGTTGAAACAGTCCCATTTAAAACCCAGCTCTTCCCACGGAGAACGGCACTGACCCGGATTTAATGTAGAGCTCATCTTCGACTGTTAATACTGCTGGGGAAAAAATGAGAAATTTTCTACAGCCAATTCTTCAGAAAGGTTCCAATTCCAAGATGAGACTTAGGTCCTCACTTCACCCTGTGTCTCTTCACCCCAGCCCCGCTGGTTGACCACAGTAAGGCCCCTGGGCTGGTGGACACTTAATGGCCCACCTCTGGCTCCTGGGACCTCAGCCACAGCAAGTTCGTGCTATGGTCTGGTCAGAGCCATGGAGTTTGGCTCTGCTGCTGTAAGTCCAAAAGACTGAGGATTCTTTGTCATCTAACACTGGCAAGCTCTCTCAGTGCCCCCTACTCCCTTGACCTGTTTATTCTTTTTTCTTATTATTTGCCCTTAGGTGGGTTTTTTTCTCCACCGCTGATATGCTCAGAGCTGTACTCTCCCGTGTTTCATCCGTTATATAAGGATGTTAGTTTCACTCTTCCAGATATGCCCACTGAATATCCTAATTAATTCATTAATTAATTAGTACAAATATTAATTGCCATTCAGGTGTGCCCAGTGAGATTTGACCTAACCTTCATAACATTTTTATGGTGTAGTTTGCTCAAATAACAGTGAAACTAAGATCCAAGTAATTACAAGCAGGGTGGAAGGAGGCTTTTTGTTATGAGAATCCTTTAGAGGAAATGAATGGGTTGGGACAGATGTGGCCTTTTCTAGGACTGGTCTTTCCTCTTCCTCTTCCACACAAACCAACCAACCGACATGGGTCCCATTTCTGAGCTTACTCAGGAAGCCAGGCACCAGACGAGACAAAGCTGTTCAGAGCAGAGTTGGAGCACCTGAAGTTGGCCTCCAGAACTCCCTAGATCATACAACTAAAGGAAATTTAAAAAACAAAGCAGCCTAGGTACAAAAGGAAATTTTGATGGAGGAAGTCTAGCCATTGTGTGGGTTTTCATCCCAGAGGCTCAGAAGGTCTGGCCACCGTATAGGGATTCCCAGAAGCCAGATAGTCTCAGGGAATGCCGTAGCCTTGATCTCCTCCCTGCTGTAAACCTGCCCATGGTGGCATCCAAATCTTTGAGGACAGCTGTGCCTTGAGGATCCTGCCTGGTCTCTGGTTTACCAAGGAAGGAACCCCCTTCCTAACTGAGCTTCTGATCATGTGGCACTAATCTGAAGACTGGTTCCTTTTTGCCTTTACTTGATAGTTTCCTGGTTCCTGGTCTTGAGGAAATCTCTTCCCTCTATCACCCTTCTGGTTCCCTTTTGGCTTAAACTGAGATCCATTTGGGGTTTGGCCTGACCAAGAAGCATGCTCTAGGGTCACTGCAGCCAGCTAAGTCTGTTTCCTCAGTTACGTCAGCTTCTCCACTATCAGAGTTCACTGAGAGCCCTGTCTCTTAAGTGGCCATGTGAGCCAGATGGTAGCCGCAATCTTGTGATTCTTCTCACCTTGTGTTCACATCTACCTCTCTCATATTATCCATCTGTTTGTTCATTCATTCAACAAATATCACCGAATATCTATTGGTAGGGCACTGTCTCGCTGGGTGAGACCAACACTCTTCCTATTCTAGAGGTCCTCTCCTCCTCAGCTGACTCCTGTCCCACTCGGCATGGTGTGGGGTTGTCTTACTCAGCTCAACTTGACAGTCCAACCCTTCTTCCCAAGTGAGAAACACTCGGGTTTCTCGGGCAAGGTTACCCACAACCATGTGAGATATTTCTAATGTGAGAAATGGAAATTAACAGATTCTCTTCAAGAAAAGAAGGGGTATTTGTCTTCACAGAGCCAAAATTCATGAGAAGAGTAGCAAGGTGGGGGGATAGAGATCAGGAAGATTGGGATGTATACATGAGGAAAAGAAAGTTGTCCAAGTATCTTTTAGGCACCAGGAACTTTCCAATCTGTTTTTAGAAATAAATTAAAATTGGCAAAACTATGGTTTCACTGGATGTTCCCAAGTGAAACAGGAGCCCAGAAAATTTAGTGGATTTGCCTGAGGTCACACAGCAACTATGTAACTGCGCTGGGCTGTGAGCGCAGGTCTTTTGACTCCAAGACTGGTGCTACCTTCCTGCATGGAGGAAGGGGGGCGGGGCAGAGGACGCAGGGAGGTTCTTCCCTCTTGTCTCTGAATTCAGGGACCCTAACGCCTGACTGAATGACAAGGCTGAACATAGAGCCTGTGGTTGGAGTCTGAAAGGCCCACCCTGGCTTGCCCCCCACCCACTGACTCTCGCCTTTGCAGAGCTACACCAAGCCAACAGCTCCCCGCCCCTCCGGGCCAGCCACCCTATGGAGTTCTGGGCCTGGGAGTTGGGGAGTAAAGGCTCCAAGAACCTTTCCCAAAGTCCAGGTAAGAGGAGGCCCTGCGAGGAAAGTGAGGAGGCGAGGCAGGGTGTAGGGGTGGGAGTGGGAACAGGAAGCTGGGGTCAGGGTTGGGGCTGGGGCTCATGGGGGCCCTGCCATTCTCACCCCTAGGCTATTGTTCTCCAGGAGCCGTGCCCCAAGCTCTGGTTGCCTGGAGGGCCCTGGGACCGCAGCTCCTCCGATCCTCCAATGAGCTGGTTTCGCGCCCTCTCCCCCCAGCACCCCTCGCTTCTCGCGGAGCCTCCACTCAGAGTCAGCAGACCCAGTAAGAAGGCATGGGGTCAGGAAGCAGGGGTGGGGGACTGGGGTGTGAGGGGTCTTTGCTGTGCTTGAACAGGGGCTGGGGGAGGGGTGGACAGGGGCTGCAGTAATGACCCTGTCATCACTCTCTTACCCCCATCAGGCCCTCGGCAGAGCCCCAAGCTCCCTCCTCCCTCCCACTGCCAGCCGCCCCCCTCCCCATCCCTGTCCCCTCCAGTCCCCCCAGTCCCTCCAGCCCCCAGGCCTCTTCCCTCTCTGGCCCCAGTCCACCTTCCAGTCGTCTGTCCAGCTCCTCGCTGTCATCCCTGGGGGAGGATCAGGACAGTGTACTGACTCCTGAGGAGGTGGCCCTGTGCCTGGAGCTCAGTGACGGTGAGGAGACCCCCAGGTGAGTTGTCTGAGGGATGACCAAAGGACTGCAGATACGCACACAACAGGGGTATGCTTATCTCAACTGGAATGTCTCTGCTGTGCCAGTAGGCCCACCTCAACCATAGCACTGTGTCCCATTTTGCCTTTTCTAGGAATAGTGTCTCTCCTATGCCAAGGGCTCCTTCACCCCCTGTCACCTACGGCTACATCAGCATCCCGACAGCCTCAGAGCTGGCGGACGTGGGCAGGGCCAGAGGAGGGGTGGGGTCCGAAGTGAGGGGCTTGCTGTGCC